TACTGTCTAACCAAAGCACTGTTTGTGTGGACGAAAATACCCTCAGCACGTGTTAGTAGAAGACGCATGTGGGGCTTGTGTGTTATGTCATCTCCAACAAGTGGATCACGTGGACAGAGGAGAGATCAGAGTAAAAACCTATCATAACCAAAGAGATAAATCTCTTCGTGCCACTTTCCCAAATATCAAATTATCAAGTAACCTTCTAACCTATTTGCTTTACTTTGCTTTTATCTCAGTAAGGGCATTTTCGTTCATCAATACACATTACACTATCAGTTTGAAAATGTACAGGAAATTTAGTTAGAAAATGAATTATAATTTTTTTGGGTTATTTTTGCTAATTTCCCATTAACATAACTATTTGTCTATCTACATAGCTATTTAATATTTTAGGGGCAATTGCAAAAATGTCACTTTTAGTGTGTACATTTGCAAGAATACCACTTAGGGGTATTCATTTGCAAAAATACCACTAATTATGGATTTTTAAAACCTAAATTTTCAAATTATAAACCCTAAAAAAAGTTTTGACCCCTAAAACCCTTTGAACCCTCAAAACTAAACCCTAATACAACATAGTTAACCCAAACATAAATGATATAACGAATTTTTTTTTTGAAAAAGTGGTATTTTTGCAAAGATTTTGAAAATATGGTATTTTTGCAAAGATTTCAAAAATATGATATTTTTGAAAAATGGCACTTGAAAAATGACATTTTTTGAAATTTCTCAATAATTATTTTATTACCTTATACATTAATCCATTAATTTGCTAATCTTTTGATATCAATAAGTTGATTATGTTTCATAGGAAGATAGTACCCGAGAACAAAAGTTATGGGAAAAAGTTTGATCAAATTCACACACTGTACGGGTTTCCCTTTTCAATTAGTTCAATCTTATACTTGTACAACAAGGAATCACCCAAAACTTGGGTTACACAAAAATTACTAACCCTAGTTTTAAAAACCCTAAAGCTGTTTAAGCGAAAGATCAAATCTCAGTAGCTTGTCTGACATTGTCACCGAAAGAACAGATCAGAGTAAGTGATGAACCGAAAGTATTGCACAATCTCTGCGAAGCAACTTCAATGGTGGACGTGTCAGAGAAAGAGATCTGCGAATTGTTACGCCTCGGATCTTCGACCATCAAAAGAGATATGTAAGAGGTAAGATCACTCATCATCCGATGGCAAAGTCGGGCTCTTTGAGCAGCTCTCTAGCTTGTGAAGTTCCAACATCCTTTTCTCTGGATTACAAAGACCTGCATCAATTCGATCCAAACAGTGATCAATCGTTGCAGATATGTTTATGCAAAGTGGCTCTAGATCCATTTCCGTAAGGTTGGGACGGGGAAAATGTGAATATCATCGTACCTGAGCATTTTGGGATATCCCAAACAGCAATGGAGTGCGGTGAGCATTCTGGTTCGCAAAGGGTGTGATGGTTCTCGTGGTTGACGTTCATTGCCAGCATCCACGCACCTATGGTCACGTCCTCATTGCTAAACATCCTGAAACTGCAGTTTGGGAAAATTTCTCACCATGTTAAAACAAAAAGGGCCACGGGTAAAAACTGCGACATGTATACAGAGACCTATACAAGAAGGGAATCTAAGGCAAGCGGAATTCCTAATCAAATTATATAACTTGTGGAGACTTGAGACTTCAAAGATCCTGGAGTGGACAAATTCTTCACTCGGCGAAAACAAAATAAAAAAACTGAGGAGACAAAACTTGCCTGTTGTTCTTGAGGGCGACCAAACTTGTGACAACATCAGCAGAAAGAGCATATATTGGGCCATAGGCATGAAGAAAGTACTCTTTCCCCAGTAGATCTGCCAATGGTTCATACCTGCAGAATTCCAAACGATTTTCAGCAATTTTCAGGCATAATGAACCACAAGAGATGACTAGTATTACAAATCCGATCTTATCTAATAAAGTTGTTCCGTTAGTTTTTAATACTAAGTTGTTATTGCCCTTACCATTTCAGCTTTGGATCTGTGAAAACTGGACCCTTTTTCAGGCATCCAAGGTATGTCTGCGAGTGACTCCGCTCTTTAGCCAGTAGCAAAGACAGCCGATCTGTGAAGAAAATAACAGCCTCGTATAAAATCCAGTACTTTCCTTTAGACACGGATTAATGTACAAAACAGAGAATGCAATCAATTACCTGGCCTCAAATATATATCATCATCAGCTTTGACATAGAATTCTGAATCATATAGGGCGTATGCAGCTTTGAAGAAAGCCAAGCTAT